GGAGGGATGGGGATGGGGGATCGGGGGTTGAGACCCATCTTGGGGGTAGTGGTCACCATTCTGGGGTGTGGACCCAGCCTACACTGTGCATGTGTGTGTGTGTGTGTGTGTGTGTGTGTGTATCAGTCCTGGGACTTGAACTAGGCACCTGGGCACTTGAACTAGGTTCCTGAGCTCTGCCTGCCTGCCTTCCTCTTCTTTCCTCCCTCCCTCCCTCCCTTTCTCTCTTCCTTTTTCCCTTCCTTTCTTTTGTTGGTTGTCAGCCCTATGATTTGAACTCAGAGTCTGGGGTTTGTCCCAGATCCTTTTTTAAAATGATTATTATTTTTGCCAGTCTAGGGCTTGAACTCAGGGCCTGGGTGCTCTCCCTGAGCTTCTTTTTTGCTCAAGGCTGGGCCTCTACCACTTGAGCCACAGCACCACTGCTGGCTTTTTTCTGTGTGTGTGGTACTGAGGAATCAAACCCAGGGCTTCATGCAGGCTAGGAGAGCGAGCACTCTACCACTGAGCCACCTTCCCAGCCCCTCTCCCCTTTTTCCCTCCTCAAGACTAGCACTCTGCCACTTAAGCCACGTCTCCACTTCTGGCTTTTTAGTAGTTTTTAGAAATTAAGAATGTCATGGAGGCTGGGTGCCAGTGGCTCACGCTTGTCATCCTAGCCATTCTGGAGGCTGAGATCTGAGGATCGTGGTTCAAAGCCAGCTCGGGCAAGAAAGGCCATGAGACTTTTCTCTCCAATGAACCACCAGAAAACCGGAAGTGGTACTGTGGCTCAAGTGTTAGAGCGCTCACCTTGAGCTGAAGAGCTGCAGGACAGTGCCCAGGCCCAGAGTTCAAGTCCCAAGACCGACCAAAAAAAAAAAAAAATGTCACGGACTTTCCTGCCTGGGCTGGCTTTGAACCTGGATCCTCAGATCTCAGCCTCCTGAGTAGCTAGGATGACAGGCGTGAACCACTGGTGCCTGGCATAATTTACCCTTGAGATCTGAGAGGGCACAGTCCCTAAGAAATCAGAATCCAAACCTGCCCTGGGGAGGGGGGACAGTCTGTGGGTTCTGAGGATCTGGGTGGAAAGCTGGGGTACACCTCCCCCCAGCTTTGCCTTCAGGCCCTTCCCTTCACTGACCCCCACCAGCGTGCGGCCATCGAATGACCAGGATAACTGGCGGAAGGCCGGCGGCTGAGCGGAAGTGGCCGTGGCAAGTGAGCCTGCAGATCAGCGACATTCATGTCTGCGGGGGCACGCTCATCGCCAATCGGTGGGTGCTGACGGCTGCCCACTGTATATATGGGTGAGTGTGGGGGGGTTCCAGATCTAGCACCCCCTCCCTCCCATCAAAACAGCGGGCTATCCTCTTTAAAAGTTTTCTTTTTCACTTGAAAATAAGGAGTGACAATCCCAGGTTGTCCCCTCCCTCTCCCCCAGTCGGTCGTGGGGCTTGAACTCTGGGCCTGGGCGCTGTCTCTGAGCTCTTCAGCTCAAGGCGAGCGCTCTACCATGTTGAGCCACAGGTACTTCCGGTTTTCTGGCGGTTCATTAGAGATTAGAGTCTCACAGACTTTCCTGCCCTGGGCTGGCTTTGAACCACGATCCTCAGATCTCAGCCTCCTGAATGGCTAGGATGACAAGTGTGAGCCACTGGCGCCCAGCTCATCCCTGGGTTTTTATTCAGTCTTGAGTGAGACTTGAGTATTTTGGGGGGGGGGTATGGGGGGGAATAAGTGATCTAGGGAGCAGACTTGGAAAGCAAATGGGCAGTTGTCTCGGAATGGGTGGGAGATGGGGCGTAGGGGTTGGAGGAAAGGGTTCTGGAAGGGACATGATTTGGTGGGAGGCATATGGCTGACCGCTCGCACAAGAAGATAGAAGGCAGGCTTTGAAGCACGTGGACTTTGGAAAGGGTAACGTGTAGAACTTTTGAAGAGAAGTCTCTCCACAGCCATCTGGAATACATCGTGAAGCTGGGCGATATCGATTTGGACCACAAATCTGCCACAGCTGCTGTGATCCCAGTCCAAGATATCGTTATCCACCAGGATTATTCTCCTATGGGAACCATGTCCCACGACATCGCCCTGGCTTTGCTGGCTTTCCCTGTGAACTACTCTTCCCACATCCAGCCAGTGTGTCTGCCTGAGAGAGCCTTCTCCGTCCAGACTGGAACTCCGTGCTGGGTGACCGGATGGGGCAAACTAAAGGAGTCAGGTGAGACTCCAGCCATCGGATTTATTTATTTTGCTGGTCCTGGGGCTTGAACTCAGGGCCTGGGCGTTATCCTTGAGTTTCTTTGGTTCAAGGCTAGCGCTCTACCACTTGAGCCACAGCGCCACTTCTGGCTTTTTCTGTGTATGTGGTACTGAGGAATGGAACCCAGGGCTTCATGCATGCTTGGCGAGCACTCTACCACTGAGCCACCTTCCCAGCCCAGGTTTTTTTTTTTCTTTCTTTCTTACAGATGTATAAGGGAGAGAGGATAGAAGATGCTGTCAAAAGAATAATTTAGGCTGGGTACCAGTGGCTCACACCTGTCATCCTAAGCTACTCAGGAGGCTGAGGTTGAGGGTTGTGGTTCAAAGCCAGCTCAGGCAAGAAAGTCTGTGAGACTCTTATCTCTAACAAACCACCAAAAAGCTGAAAGTGGAGCTGCTGTTCAAGTGGTAGAGCAGAGCTTTGAGCAAAGAAAGCTCAGGGATCAGTGCCCAGGTCCTGAGTTCAAGACCCAGGACTGGTGTGTGTGTGTGTATACATGTATTTGTAGGCATGTGCATACACAAATAATTTAGCAACTGTTGATGAATTTCTATTGGTTTTCTGGACTTAGAGCCAGGCATGATGAATTCTCTCCAGAGTGGGTTTTTAGCTCTGGCACGATTTGCTGTATATCAATTTAAGTTGTCCCTCCTTGGTTACAACTGCCTTGGTAGATACAGGGCTTCCTATATGTGAGAAGAGTCCAGAAAACTTTCCAGGGCAGTGGGGAGAGGGGGGATCCAGGGAGGGGGCGAGATGGCTGGGGGAAAGAGGCTGGATTTGGTACCTGTAAATCTTTTCCTGTCAGAGACCTGTGATCTAGCCCTAGATAGTAAAGACACTCTACTTCTGGACAGGCTTGTACTACTTAACTGTGAATAACAGCTAGAATAGCAAATGTTTGATTTGCTTGCCTTGGTTTAGGATTGATTATTTATTATCTATTAACTTTTGTGTGTGTGTGTGTGCTGGTCCTGGGGCTTGAACTCAGGGCCTGGGCACCTGTTCCTAAGCTGCTTTTTTGCTCAAGGCTTCAAAGCTAGCACTCTAGCACGTGAGCCACAGCTCTACTTGTAGTTTTTCTTTTTCTTTCTTTCTTTCTGACAGGCTGGCTTTGAACTGCCGATCCTCAGATCTCAGCCTCCTGAGTAACTAGGATGACAGGTGTACGTGAGCCACAAGCACCCGGCTCCTGTGTTGGTTTAGCTTTGAACATCCCCCTACACAGATGTCGGAACTAAGCTACCTTCCCCTCTAGTGTCAAATGGGGGAAATCTAAGGGAATGCCTGTAGAGAGAAACACGCTTTATTAAGACCCAAAGGAAGTTCTGGCAACTTCCGTCTGACCTGCCCTGCTTCCACACATCACACTTACTCTGGAATGATCTCTCTGTAGACGGAGACGACTTAGTACCAAATAAGCTCCACGAAACCCAGCTGAACATTCTTCATTATAAGGAATGTAACGAAATACTCAAGAGAATAATGTTAAGCAGTATCAATGTGATCAGGAAAGGGACGGTCTGTGCCTACAGTTACAAAGGAAGGGACTCCTGTAAGGTCAGTTCCTGGGCCCCTTCATACTCTTTTATTTTTATTTTATTTTATTTTTTGGTCGGTCGTGGGACTTGAACTCTGGGCCTGGGCGCTGTCCCTCAGCTCTTCAGCTCAAGGTGAGCACTCTATTGCTTGAGCCCCAGCGCCACTTCTGGTTTTCGGGTGGGAAATTGGAAATAAGAGTCTCATGGCCTTCCCTGCCCGAGCTGGCTTTAAACTGCGATCCTCCAGATCTCAGCCTCCTGAGTAGCTAGGATGACAGGCCCCTGGTCATCGTCCCTTGCCATTTCTTTCTTCCTCTTTTCCTCCAGGGAGATTCCGGAGGACCCCTGGTGTGTGAATTCAATGACACGTGGATGCAGGTGGGCATTGTGAGCTGGGGTATCGGCTGCGGGCACAGGGGCTACCCTGGCGTCTACACAGAGGTCAGTTTCTACAAGAACTGGCTCATCAGGCAAGTGAGTCATGCTTCGTGTTGGGGCGCAGTAGCCCCCCTGCTTTTCAGCCTGTGCCTCATGCTGCACCTGGCCGTCGTGGTAGCTCCATGACCACCTGCTCCACGCGTGTGGTGCGGCTCCCACGCTCCCGCTCGGCCTTCCTCCCAACTCCCTTCCCTTCTCAATATTCTTCTTCCAATGGGCTGCCCCGCCATGGAGCAGCCGCAGTGGACAGCGCGAGATCCCTGGGCTCTGATCGCAGCCAGCTAGGTATGGCTCTGAGAGAGAGAAAGAAAAGAAGGCGCCATGGCCAGCTTCTGCCAGGGTGCCAAGTCCGGTGCTTGCCCACCTGGCACCGTGTCCTGGACTAACGGAAGTTCCCCTGTGTCCCAGAGCGCATCCAGCTGGGGGAGCAGAGTGGCTGACCCAGAGGCCTCCTGTGCCAAGCCAAGGTGGCACCTCCATTTCCCGGGTGTTCCTCACGGTCGCTTCCAGGGGGACCCTCAAGTTGTGGGCACACAGTTGGGGACTAGAGATTTCAGATGGGAACTGAATAAATGTTTGCCCAAGTGCCCTGTGTGTTGTGCAGTCTGCTCACTCCTAGTGTCTGCTCACAGAAAATACTCTCTATGGAAAAACTAGGTCGCCATTTAGCTAAGGAAGCTGTTTATGCTCCTATTAAACCTTAGAAGAAGGGCTGGGGAGGGGCGGCGCTGGGAAGCTGGCTCAGTGGTAGAGTGCTTGCCTTACATGCCTGAGGCCTTGGGTTTGAGTCTTCAGCACCACATACACAGAAAAAGCCGGAAGTGATGCTGTGGGTCTACAAGTAAAATGCTAGCCTTGAGCAAAAGCAGCTCAGGGACAGCGCCCAGGCCCTGAGTTCAAGCCCCAGGACTGGCAAAACAAAAACAAAAATTCCAGCAACAACAGCAACAAACACCTTAGAAGAAAAGGTGACACTGAGCTCTGTCCTGATTCTTAAGCTTTTTGTTTGTTTTGGTTCCAGTCGTGGGGTTTGAACTCTGGGCCTGGGCGCTGTCCCTCAGCTCTTCAGCTCAAGGCGAGTGCTCTACCACTTGAGCCACAGCCCCACTTCCAATTTTCTGGTGGTTCATTGGAGATAAGAGTCTCATGGACTTTTCCTGCCCAGGCTGGCTTTGAACCGCGATCCTCCAGAGCTCAGCCTCCTGAGTAGCTAAGATGACAGGCGTGAGCCACCAGCACCTGGTTCCTGGGGCTACATTTGATAATAAACACATCCCATATCCTGTGTGTCAGGGATAGTTCCTAATATCTGTGCAGGGAGGCTTGTCACGGATAGTTTTTGCTCTTTTTTATTACTTGTTTTTGTTATTGTTGTTTTGTTCCAGTACAGGAACTTGAACACAGGGCCTGGGCATTATCCTCTAACTTTTTCCATATATTCTCAAATCACAAAGGCTTAATCAGAGGCTGGGTTAACAAGATGCCCAAACCTAAGGCGGGGGTGGGGGTGGGGGATAGGAGAGGAGGGAGGGCACTTGGGGGTGCTTTCATGGTCTGCCACCAGAGTGGGGGAGTGTGTGTGTGTGGGGAAATCAGTGGTTTTCAAAAATCCAGGCACCAGTGGGGGGAGGGGGAGGATGCTGTTGCCTGTCAATCAATCAGCGCAGGGGCGTGGCCAGGACTTCCTGCACATGGCGGGCACATGCATCAGTGAGCCACTGCCGCCGTCCAGGTGGTGCTCTTGATCTCATGGCTGCTTCTTGGTGCACCCTTGGGCGCCTGGGCTTGGGAGATGTTTCTGATCTGACCTGTGCTGCTGCTATTGCTGCTGCGGCTGCTGCTGCTCCAGCCATTGCTGCCCCATTGCCGCCAGAGAACTTGAGCAAGGCTCGCAGCTCATGAAGCATGTTCTTAACTTCTCCTCCACTCCTGTGTGCCCCCCCCTCCAGTCCTCTGACAGCTGATGGTCCCCTCCCCCCCCTCCCCTCTTTGTTACTCACTCCCAGAATCTGAAATCCTTGCCTACTGGGATTTCCTACCTCAGGCCACACCTGCCCTCCATTATTCCACTCGAGGGAATAATGTTAAACACTCAACTTTCTTCCGAGATCATGCCCTGTGCCGGTGGCTCACACCTGTCAGCCTAGCTCCTTGGGAGACTGAGATCTCAGGATCGAGGTTCAAAGCCAGCCTGGGGCAGGAAAGTCTATGAAACTCTGATCTCCAATGAACCAGCCCAAATCCTGAAATGGAGCTGTGGCTCAGGTGGTAGAGGGCCAGCTTGGAGTGAAAAAGCTCAGGGACAGTGCCCAGGCCCTGAGTTCAAGCCCCAGGACTGGCACATTGAGTGTAGTGAATGAATGAACTAATTCCTGGTGAGCGAAGGCACCTCTTCGTTGTCATCCCTCCAAAGGAACTTTTACTTTATCTCTGTCCCCTTTTCTCTGTGGTGAAGAGGACCAGACAAGGTGGGTGATGGGGCCCTTAGAACATTTCTAGAAGGATGTTCTATTTTTATGTATGTTTTATTTGTTTACTCATTTATTATCTACGTATGTATTTTGCCGATCCTGGGACTTGAACTCAGGGCCTGGGGCTGTCCCTGAGCTGCTTTGTGCTAGAGCTCTACCACTTGAGCCACAGCGCCACTTCCGGCTTTTTCTGAGTGGTTTATTGGAGATAAGACTCATGGACTTTTCTGTCTGGGCTGGCTTTGAACCACGATCCTCCAGATCTCAGCCTCCCAAGTAGCTAGGGCAACAGACCTTGAGCTGCCTGGCTGTGAGAGTCTTTGATGATTATTTCCTGTAGATCTCGGCCTTTATCTCTGCTGGTGGAATGTCTTTATGAATGTCTTGATGATTTTTGTTTATGGGTATGTTTTGTGTTTCTGCCAGTCCTGGGGCTTGAAGTCAGGGCTTCGGTGCTGATTCTTAGCTTTTATTTTGTTCAAGGCTGGTGTTCTACTACTCGATCCATACTTCTGCTTCTGGCTTTATGCATGTGTTTATGTATGTATATATGTAGTAGCATCCTTGCGAAGTGAATCTTCCTGGCAGAACGCAACAGGATGGTTGTTCTGGGGGTAACTAGGGGTTCAGAAGACCTGTCAGCACTTCTCTATCTCTTTTTTTGTCTCTGTCTCCTCATTTCTTTCTTTCTGTGTGTGTCTCTCTTGTCTCTTTCTCTGTCTCCATCACTGGCTCATTCTTGTCTCTTGCTTCTATCTTGCTGACACTTCTCTATCTTTGGTCTCCATCTCTCTTATCTCTCTGTCTTTCTCTCTGTGTATGTCTCTTTCTTGTCTCTCTCTTCTTTCTGTGTGTCTTTCTTTCTCTGTGTCTCTGTCTGTCCTATCTCTGTGTGACTGTTTCTTGTCTCGATGTCTCTCATCTTTCTTGTCTGTCTCTCTGTATATCTCTCTGTCTGTCTGTCTGCCTCTCTTTGTCTCTCTCTGTCTCTGTCTCTCCCTCCAGGGAGATTCCAGTGTATCCCTGACTTGGAAAGTAGAGGGCGGATGGACCCTGGCTGAGGTTCAGTCCTGGGAGAATGCGCGCACCAGGTCAGAATCCAAGCCCGGACACACATGTCAGCAAACACACCAGCTCAATCAAGACACACGTGAGCAATGGGACTCTCTCAGGGCTCTGCAGATCTGCCCAGCTTCCTCTTCCTGTCCTGACCATCACCCCTGATGAGGGAGGAAGGGGGAGGGGGGTCCGTGATTTCACCTTCCTTTGCCCTGCCTTGACTCTGATTGACCCACAGGGAGTCTGACCAAAGTCTCATGTGCATTCCACAAGACTCCAGAGCGGACCCAGTGCTGTGTCATCCTACAAGGGAAGGGGTAGGGTGGGTGATTAGGCCTATCATCTTAGCTACTCAGGAGGCTGAGATCTGAGGATCATGGTTCGAAGCCAGCCCAGGGAAGAAAAATCCCTGTGAGACCTTCCTCACCAATGAACCACTCAGAAACTGAAAGTGGAGGCCTGGGAAGGTGGCTCAGTGGTAGAGTGCTTGCCTAGCTAGCATGAGGGCCTGGGTTCGATTCCTCAGCACCACATACACAGAAAAAGCCAGAAGTGGCGCTGTGGCTCAAAGTGGTAGAGTGCTAGTTTTGAGTGGAAAAAAGACCTAGAGACAGCACCCAGGCCTTGAGTTCAAGCCCAACCACTGACAAAACAATGTACTACCTCAGAGTCAGAAGTGGCGCTGTGGCTCAAGTGGTAGAGTGCTAACCTTGAGAAAAAGAAGGCTCAGGGACAGCGCCCAAGCCCTGAGTTCAAGCTCCAGGACTGGCACACCAAAAATCGTGAATTCTAGAATCCTCGCACAATGTAGTTGCTCCGCCTTCTGCTCTACGTTCTACTGTTAAGGAACACAGCGGTGAGGGCTGGATTATTGAAAGGAGCAGCCAGGGTTGGACCTCTATTTGCCATGGCATGTGAACCAGGGACTTTTCAGGACTTAATCTCAGTTCCACTTTCTTCTGCCAGACTTACGAATGAGCCCTATATGGAAGGTAGGGTTTGGGGGTCATGGGCAGAGATGCTGGGTACCTGTGTCACTTGTTTACAGGCCTGAAGGAGGCCCTTCCTGAGTAGATGGGTCCATCTTCAATAAACTGAGGAATGAGGGTGAGCTGTGGCCTTACAGGGACCAATATAATTCATACCATTTTTGGAGAAATCTCTCCCCCCCCCTCCATTCCTGGGGCTTGAACTCAGACACTGTCCCTTGAGCTCCTTTTGTTCAAGGCTAGCACTCTACCACTTGAGCCACAGTGCCACTTTCGGCTTTTTCTGTGTATGTGGTATGGAGGAATCGAACCCAGGACTTCATGCTTGCTAGGCAAGCACTCTACTACTAGGCCACATACCCAGCATCCCCCATGAGATTCTTATCTCCAGTTAATCACTAAAAAAAATTGGAGGTAGAGCTGTGGTTTGATTGGTAGAACACTAGCCTTGAAGAAAAGAAGCAGAAGCAGAAGCAGAAAGGAAGCTCAGAGACAGCATCTAGGCCTTGAGTTCAAGCCCCTGGATGGACACACACATAAAAAAGATTGGGAATGTGGCTTAGTGGTAGAATGCTTGCCTAGCGTATATGAAACTCTGGGTTCGATT